ACAGCCGATGGTCAGATAAAGAGAAGTCTGTACTCTGTCTCTCAGAGACGCCGCGCCGGTGACTATATGGCTGTCAAAGGTTGCACAATTATTTCTTACATTTTCATTGTCGTATAACAAATATTTTACTACTTATTTCAAATTTTATGTTAAAATACATCATGAAAGCATAATAAGGTTATCTCCAAACGTTACGTAGGTACTTTATACATTAGCTACGTTTTCGTGCCGGACTGTAAATAATATTTCCAGTAATATCATATCATAATTATTGTTAACCATGACACTTAGATCAGGTCGTCGACCGATTGACTACCTTGAAACTTTTTATCAACTAATATAATGCTCGGATCTTAAGAATATACCGTTCGTTGGCATTATATATGAGCATGCGAAATGCACTGTGTGTGTATGTGTGTGTGTGTGTGTGTGTTCTGTTTATTAATTCCTGAAAATATTCTCATTAGTGTACCACGTAAAATTAAATATTTTGTATAAAAATATTGTTTTTATTTTTATACAATTGCATTTTAAACGCCAAGCATGTAAAGTTTACATCCGATTTTAATAAAGAATTATCAGACAAATTCAATACATTCATCATTCTCTGCGAATATTTTTCACCGTCCTTTGGCCCGCCTACTCAATTTTATAGATATTCTGGTCTACAGATGGTGGAAAACATTTACGCAATTTGGATCTGTTCCAGTAAATATCTCAACCAGAAATTTAAACATAGTAAAACGTGTCGGCTTAATTTCCACTAAAGTAGTCACCTCATTCAAGAAATTAGAAAATATTTCCAAGGAACATATTAGACGCAAATTATTTATTACATGATGATTATCCGTGTATCGAAGTGCTAAAGTATTTGTAGTAAGACAGAACAAGGACGGCGTTTCAAAGCTACTGGACTGGAAAGGATACGGTATCATCATCAATGCAGAATCACTCACCTTAGATTTGTCGACGATATAGTAATTATATTATGGCAAAATCGCTTAAAGACCTAAACACTATGCACAATGACCTCAATAGTGTCCCCTAATAGGTCTTAAGATAAACATAAACAAATAGGACCAAAGTAATCGACATAGCCGGCCAACTATATCATCATCATCATCATCATTACAGCCCTTCACAAGTCCACTGCTGAACTATGTTCACGACGTAATAGATACGAATATATAAGATATGACGTATTCAGGGCTGACAGAAAGTTCATCATCATCATTACAACCCTTCACAAGTCCACTGCTGAACATAGGCCTCCCCCAAGTAATGCCACAAGGCACGGTCCTGAGCCTCCTGCATCCATCGACTTCCTGCATGTCTTACCAGGTCGTCACTCTATCTAGTGGGCGGTTGCCCTACACTACGCCTATCGGTACGAGGCTGCCACTCGAGAACCTGTCTTCCCCATCGGTTATCGGTTCTTCGAGCTATATGGCCGGCCCATTACCACTTCAGCTTACTAATCCGTTGGGCTATGTCGGTCACTCTGGTTTTACTGAGGATATCCTCATTTTTGAGTCTATCACACATAGAAACTCCGAGCATAACTCTCTCCATAGCTCGCTGAGCGACCTTGAGCGTCCTCATACGGCCAGCAAGTCATCACTGGCAACACGCACTGGTTTTACGATCTTGTTTTCAAGAGTTTGAGGTATACCTGACGAGAAGATGTGACGTAATTTCCCGAACGCTGCCCAGCCGAGTTGAATCCGTCGATTGACCTGTCGGTCGAAGTTGGACTTACCTAGTCGGACAATTTGTCCCAGGTAAACGTACTCGTCAACAACTTCGAGCATAGTGCTCCCAACTACCGGCCAACTATATAGCTCCAGGTAAAACCGACAACAGTCTGAGAAAAAAAGCGAGGCATAGAGCGGCCACCAGACCGATCTATCCACAAGGTGATGATCGGTCTGGTGAGACATGCTGAAAGTCGATGGATGCAGGTAGTTTAAGATCATCTTTGCTCACATTCTTTGGGAAAGGGCCTACGTTCAGCAGTGGACTTGTTTTTTTTATAGGATAGGATGACAAACGAGCTCACAGTCCACCTGATGGTAAGTGGTTGCTGTGACCCATAGACATCTACATCTATCCTCGATTACGAATCAAAATGCAGATGCGTTGTCATCCGTGAGGATTTAGGTGGAATGCCTCGTTTCCAGTAAAAAGGGTCTCCAGATCTCTACACTCACCATACGAAACACACAGCATCAAGCTACTATTTGACGCTGGTATTCTGTGAGAGCGTGGTCCCTCCCCGGTCGAGCCGACCGATTCGTGCCTATTATACTACTAATATAACAGCATGGCCACGTAAAAACGAACGTTGTTTAAAATGTTGAAATTAATTTGATTTTACAAGGAAGAAAAGTAAAAAATATATATTACTAGCGATCTGCCCCAAGCTCCGCACAGGTGATATCTGGATTCTACAAAGGCCCCGCGCGAGCCGCTCTGCGCTGGATGCGGTCAAGTGGAAGGAGCTGGCACTGGGGAGCCCCAGCCCAGAGATGGGAACTGTATTCCATGTGCGGCCGAACCTGCGCCTTGTAAAGTTGCAGGCGGTGTGCTGGCATGAAATACTGTCCCGCTCTGCTGAGCACGCCAAGCTTTTTTGAGGCCAATTTGGCCTTCTCGTCAGTGACCACGAAACTGTACGTCACTCGATATGTCGACGCCGAGGATTCCGATACTGGCTGAGGCAACAAGGAGAGTGCCTTGAAACTAAGGAGATAAAACAACTATGCCTATAACCTCCGCGGAAGTGCGAGCAATAAGTTGATAGTTTTGCCGCAATCTGATAACGGTATGGCGTATAAAAAAATGTTGACTTTTGTATATTAGACTGTGTGAAATTTAATTAAAATGAGTATATTGTTATTATGCTTTATAAATTATTTATTCAAATTATTAAATGTAAATTAAATTACTACATGTAAAGTAAATATAAAAATGCTTTTATTATCAGTCTATTACGCCAATTATTATGCAGCAAATAGGTCGTAAATATATATACAATTTTTTAAGTTGAATTCTTACACGTATACACTATACATACGTACACATATACTGCTATTTATTATGAACTACAGAACATTTCCACTATCCATGCAGCTTATAAAAATCCGCGGAAGAACATAGACTTCCTCCATAGATTGCCTCATAGAGAAGATTTTGCCACAGATGCCACCTTTGGAAGACGGGTTGGCCACTGCAGTTATCTAATTTTGTGTTATCATCAGAAAGATGCTGCTGCAAATCTTCCGTTTCAGTTTCCCTCTGTGGCTTTTATATACGACAACCATACGACATGACGATATAGTTATAGGGTAGTGGATATTTTACACCGCCACTACACGATTAATAGAAACTTTTTAAGCTATTGCATAGCTTTTATCGCGGGCTTTGAGCGCGGTGACCGCATCAAGAAATTCCGTAACGAAAATCACTCCGACCGGCTCAGCGGTGCGGCGTTGAAAGTCGTGCATCGCCATCGTCTAACGTCGTTTCAGTTCGGCAGACTTCGGCACGGTGTTTGTCGGCGCGCAACTAGACGTATGCGTGTAGACTAGCTCCTAACTGCTCATAACTGATTCCATCTCTTTTAGACACAGTGCTAGGTGAGACAGCGTGCTTTTTGGCCGCGTCCACGAGTGAGTTCGAGCCCGGACTAGTTGAATCTTAACGTGTACGTATATGGTACGACTGTACGAAGCTCGCACGGATCGAGACGAGCTGCTCCGAAATCGGACGAATGCATAAGCAGCTGTTTGTGAGAAAGTAAGGTGTATACTGTATAGGTACTATCATCTATCTACAACAGTAAATAGCTGTACGCGTAAATTTTGTGTATAAAGTGTTTTAAATATGAATAAACAAAGTGCATTTATTAATGAAGAAGGTCACGAAAAAATAGTGAAAGAAAATGAGTGAGTACCTACTTCATTGTGTGTACGTGCGCACGTGCTTGGTTTAATGGAAACCATTTTGGTTTAATGGTTTCCATTAAACCAAAATGCACGTGTACTATTTAGTACCTTTGTTTTTTTGTGTAAAGGTAATACACATTAATGCCGCGCAGAGAAAGTATATATGATATTAGGTCTTTATAAATGTACTTCGCTCGAAATTTGATGATCAAACTCTTAAAATCGGTCTTTTTGTTCAAATTTTTTGAATGAATAATTGTTTTGTTGCGTAATTACACTATTTATACCTAATTATTTACACCTAGATATTTTTGTTTTATAGGGAAGAAAAACTTAAAGAGCTAAAAAGAAAAAGAAATTGTGAACGTCAAAGAGCATATTATCAGCGTCAGAAAGATTTGAAGAAAAATGAAAAAAAAATAAAAATAATAAAACAGACCAAAGTACCAAAATCAAATGCTGAACGTCAAAGGAAATTTCGTCAACGTAATGCAGAAAAATCTTACATGGATATGTAATTTGATTTAATAATATTTAAAAACAAATTGTAATATAAGCCTCAATATTATTTAACTTTACGATTTCCTCATTTTTTTTACAGGAAAAGACAAAAATTGGACATTAAGGAAGAGAATGTCGTGCAATGTAGGGCTGTTGAAAATATAGAAAATGTAACGCTACAAGAAATTCAATTTCACAGCCAACAACTTCATATTTATGAACAGCGTTATGAATGCATTACTCCCGAAGTTATTCTACACAGGAACACAGGAATTCCTGGCGATGGTAATTGTCTATTCCACTCGCTCATAAGTGTTTTGAATCTTCAAATTGAGACTTGTGACTTGAGAAATCAGTTACGTGATTCACCCTATTTAAACTCCTGCCACAATCCGCAAGAAGCCTATAACATTCTATCAAGCACTAATGATTACGGAGATTTGGATTGTTTGTACTTATTTTCAAAAATGTACAATCAAAATGTTTGTGTACATTATTGTTTTTACAACATAACTACAACGAATCAAGACACTATCTTTTGTCATTTTAAAGCGAATGATACACAAAACTGGATTCATCTTCATCTTCGTGAACAACATTTCACACCTTTTTATGAAGTATCAGATTTATTGAAGACAATACAAGACGCTACCCAAAATGAAGCCCATGTTGATGCCAATATTCAACTATTGCGTGACAATTATGATGAAGTTCCTACCGAAGATAACCATAACAATCATGGAAATGAAATTGAGATTGATCCAGTTTATACAAATTATCGTAAACACAGTACAAGTCATATTGATTTTTATAAAGACTTTACAAGTAATTCATTCGGTCATTCTTGTATTATTTGCGACAGACTATGGTGGAAAAGAGACTTAAAAATGTCGACCAGTAAACATGAAAGTATTTTGAAAACAATACTGCAGGTAATCTTAATTAAATAGTTTTTTTTAATTATTCACTTTACAAAATACAGTTAGTTCATTCTGCGTAGATCGGACCAAAGACAATAATTAAAAAGCTGAAGGTACTCCGGGTTAACTTTGACATCGGGACGTCAGTCACCTCAGTCCCCCGTGACCATGGGTGCTGGAAAGCACCCGAAACGTCGGGTATTAAAATTAATATAAATAAAGCGAACGATACACAAAACTGGATTCATCTTCATCTTCGTGAACAACATTTCACACCTTTTTATGAAGTATCAGATTTATTGAAGACAATACAAGACGCTACCCAAAATGAAGCCCATGTTGATGCCAATATTCAACTATTGCGTGACAATTATGATGAAGTTCCTACCGAAGATAACCATAACAATCATGGAAATGAAATTGAGATTGATCCAGTTTATACAAATTATCGTAAACACAGTACAAGTCATATTGATTTTTATAAAGACTTTACAAGTAATTCATTCGGTCATTCTTGTATTATTTGCGACAGACTATGGTGGAAAAGAGACTTAAAAATGTCGACCAGTAAACATGAAAGTATTTTGAAAACAATACTGCAGGTAATCTTAATTAAATAGTTTTTTTTAATTATTCACTTTACAAAATACAGTTAGTTCATTCTGCGTAGATCGGACCAAAGACAATAATTAAAAAGCTGAAGGTACTCCGGGTTAACTTTGACATCGGGACGTCAGTCACCTCAGTCCCCCGTGACCATGGGTGCTGGAAAGCACCCGAAACGTCGGGTATTAAAATTAATATAAATAAAACGCGATAAAATCCGTAAAAGTAGTTTTAATCAATATTCACTATATATTTTTCTTTCTATATCTTGATAATACGAACTTGACTTTTTTAGAATTACACACCTGGTGAAATTGTTCAAGTCTGCTCTACGTGTTATACATCTTTGGAAAAAGAAAAAATTCCTCTCATGTCAACCTACAATGGTTTTGCATATCCGAAAATTCCTTCACATTTACCAACTTTAAACCTTATCGAGCAACGATTGATTTCATCGAGAATACCGTTCATGCAGATTCGTAGACTGAGACACGTCAATGGTCAGTACGGTATTTATGGCCAGATAATTAATGTTCCTGTCGAAGTTAATACAATGGTGAAACAATTGCCAAGAAACATTCAAGATGACCATTGCTTTTATGTGCATTTGAAAAAGAAGTTGATTCACAAAACTAGTTACGTCCACGGGCTTATTAATAAGAGACATATTAAAGAGTGGTTGTCGTATTTGGTATCTACGCCTCTTTATATTTATCATGACATTAAAATCGATGAATCTTTTCTTACCGGCAATGAACGTACTTCGCAATTTAATATGGATGAAATAAGTGAACACGTGCCAATTGAAGACAATTTAGTTGCGCAGCAACAAACTCTTTTGTGGAATGATGATTATTTTTTGAATCTAGCACCCGGTGAATATAACAAGCCAGTCAGTATTTTAATGGATGAACATGCGGAAGAACTATCTTTTCCGACAATCTACGGCAGTCAGTTTCGAACATACAGAGATGGTGTTATTGTTACTCCCTTCATGCAAGCTACCAGCGAAGTTCGCCGTACTGATAGACGTGCTACTGACCCACAACACCTTTTATACATCGCTGCTAAAATAATGAGGTTGCGAGTTAGTAGATGTATCAACGTTGCGTTTAAGCATGTTGGGCAAGGTACTTCAATTACGAAAGAGACCATTCAATCTGAAGAATATATAAATAATTGTTTAGAAACAAATCTCGCATTTCTTCGCTGCATACCAAATTCTGCTTGGTTTTGGTCAGATCGCAAAAAAGATCTTTTTGCAATGATCAGGCAATTAGGGCCACCAACTGCTTTTATGACTCTTAGCGCCAATGAAACTGGCTGGGAAAATTTGTTGAAATTATTGTACAAATTGAAAAACGAGGGAGCGGATATTTCAGATAAGTTTTTAGCAGAAATGAGTTATGTGCACAAAGCTCAACTTGTGAATGAGGATGCCGTAACTTGTGCTATTTATTTTAATAAAATGGTAAATTGTCTGTTAAAAATTTTGCAATCAAAGAAAAGAAATCCATTCGGAAAATATAGAGTAGTACATTATTTCAAAAGAATAGAATTTCAACATTGTGGTAGCCTACATGCTCATATTCTTCTTTGGTTGGAAAATATTCCTGAAGTTTTATTAAGCAATGATCCTGAAGTAATTAAATTAATCGACGAATTAGTTTCTGTGTCAGTGTCAGAGGCGTCGGGAAATATAAAACTAGTAACGCACAAACACACATTCGCGTGTTATAAAAAAATGAATCCAAATAAAAAGCAAGAATGTAGATTTGGTGCACCATTTATGCCAACAAAAAAAACTATTAATTTGATACCTATGAAAAACACTGATGCCGATTACTCAGAAGCGCTTTTCAAAGAATATAAGAAACGATTTAAATTTATAAGAAATAATCTCGAAAATTTTGACTACACAAATTTTGATGAATTTTACTCGCATAATGATATTATTTCTGATGATCATTACTACAATATTATTCGTGCTGGTATCAATAGACCAAAATTATTCTATAAAAGGACACTAGCAGAAAAATGGCACAACACTTTCAATCCATTCGTATTACATCATTTGAAATCGAACATGGATTTTCAGATTATACTAGATGAATATGCTTGTGCAACATATGTCGTTGAATATATCAATAAGCACAATAGAGGGATTAGTAATTTGCAAAGACAAATAATTGACATAATGGACGAGCATCCAGAATTCGACATTGTCGATATCACGAAAAAAATGATTATTGACATACTTCAGTGTGATGAAATGTCGGTACAGGAAGCTGCTTGGTATTTATTAAGAGAACCTATGGCTAAGTCATCGGTGGTGACAGTCTACATTCCAACGGTATTTCCTACTGAACGCGCAAGAATTAGAAAATCTATGAAGGAACTTGAAGCCTTAGATGATGATTGTACGAACGTTTGGAAAGAGGATTGGTTCGATAAGTATGAGAAAAGACCTGAAGAACTCCGCGATCTTACGTTAGCACAATTTGTTGCAAAATATTACCTAAATAAAAAGGGGACTTACACTAAAAGAGATACTGCAAGAATAATAAGATACAGGAACTACGATATGGCTGACAATTACAACGATTATAGACGTGAGATGGTTCTGTTGCATGTTCCTTTTCAAAGTGAAGAAAATGATATTATTGCTGAAAATAAGTTCATTCAAATATACGAAGACACCAAAGATACGATATTAGAACGTAGGAAAGAATTTGAATCAAATTTGGACATAGAGAAAACTTTACAAATTTGTAGGCAGTTGTGCCGAGAAAACGATGAGGAACAAGAAGACGAAGAATTATTAAGAGCGGAGAAAAAAATTTGTTTTCTTATCGGTCACCGTGCTTAAAAAGTGGAACTTGAATTAATATCAAATAACAAAACAAAGAAAAAAATACTGCATAAATAAAATAAATAAATAATTGTGATGGCATAAGTTGATAAAAATGCTTTACCGCGGCAGTCCCCGAGTGCCACACGTATATTTTTATTCTATATAGATTATAAATACTTAATACTATAATGAAGTCATTTTTTTAATTTACCACTGGTTCGGAAAAAAACTTCTGTCCTGGGAAGAACCAGCAAGAAACCCAGCAGGACTTTTAATAAAACGTGTGGCACTCGCGGACCGCCGCGGTAAAGCTATTGCATAGCATTTTTATCAACTTATGCAATTATAATTATTTATTTATTTTATTTATGCAGGAATTTTTTTCTTTGTTTTATTCTTTGATATTAATTCAAGTTTTTTCTTTGATATTAATTCAAATTACACTTTTTGAGCGTGGTGACCGATAAGAAAACAATTTTTTTTTCTTTTATTGAATAAATGAGAAGTTAATATTATAATATATATATATATACATATTATGTTTATGGTAATTAACGAGTTCTTTCGACAAACGATAATTTTCTATAAAGTCTGTGTTTATTAAATACTCTAAATTCACGAAAGTTGCTAGCATGACGACGACTCATATAAATCCAAAGAATATGCTTCTTGCATTCAGCTATAACTGCCGACATAAGTCGTGAGCATACTTTTTATTGCTCGATACGACGTTGACCACGCTGACGTTCAACGTGATTGGTTCATTAGTCGATTCTCGTCGTCTATTGGTTTCGAACGTATCATTCGGCTTCCGTACACTTCAGAGCAATAATTTTAATGATAACTTTTTTAATAAGTTTATTTTCGTTAATTGTTTTTGTCAGCTCGTTGTTAATTGTTGCTTGTGTATTCCTTGTTATTAATTGTAGTTATTTCTTGTTAAGCTATTGCATAGCTTCTATCGCGGGCCTTAAGCGCGGGGACCGAATCCAGAAATTCCGTAACGAAAAAAAACCTCACGCTCCCCACTCCGACGGGCACGGAGGTGTGGCGTTGAAAGCCGTGCATCGTTTAACGTCGTTTTAGTTCCGCAGACTTCGGCACTCGGCAGAGTTCGGCACGGTGTTTGTGTGCGTGCGACTAGACGTATGCGTGTACACTAGCTGCTAACAAAAATGAACCTATTAAAAATATTTTAAACAATATTAACTTTTCATTTATTCAATAAGAAAAAATAAATTGTTTTCTTATCGGTCACCACTCTCAAAAAGTGTAACTTGATTTAATATCAAAGACTTAACTGCATAAATAAAATAAGTAAATAATTATAATTGCATAAGTTGATAAAAAATGCTATGCAACAGCTTTACCGCGGCAGTCACCGAGTGCCACACGTATTTTTTTTTAATTATTTTTGTTGTTATAATTTGAGTGTTCAGATTTTGGTCTAAATATGCAGAGAAGGAAGAATTCGGTGTTAAATAGACAATCTCGACAAATTTTCTATTCAATGTTTAGTTACATGAAAAAAGCGAAAAACATCATAGACGTATATAAACAGACTGCTGAGGCGACTAATGTCTCAGTAGCTACTGTACGGCGCACCGCAACACCAGATTTTATGGAAGGCATATCACCTCTTCCTTCTTCTTAATAAAATAATCAATTCTAACCACCAGGTATACATTAAATACTTTATAGTAGATAATAAAATAACGGACATGAATATCTGCAACATTACTGTATCATTATGTATTTATTATGTATTTAAGTAAAAGTTGATGTGTTCGAGTAAACATTTTCATAAAAGTCGTCGAAAATCTTAAATTACGAATTGAAATAATAAAGGTATCCAATAATTTTGCCCGACAGTGTACCTACCTCCCACCACAGTTTATCTGTGCTCACCGCTCGTGTCGGCAACTATACTCTGTTCCACTCAACTGCAGTGCATACACCGCACTTTAATCAGTCACTCGCTAGGCGCTTGTAGAGTTGACACGAATTGTGTTAATTAAAAAAAAAATCTCTGGAGAAAAATATGCCGTCGTGTGTACTTATATATTGCACAAATAATTCAAGAAATGTCAGTAAAAACTAAGGGATTAGTTTTCATCGATTAATAAGATACTTAATCAATAAAAACGTATTATGTATTAATAATAAAACAAATTATCCCTAAGACGCCATCTCATGTCATGGAATATAGATTATGAAATGAATATGTTCAGATGCGACATTTCAGTGGTTACTTAAGTATAGGACGAATATATTATTATACACATTTTTTTTGTAGAACAATTAAAATTGTACTTAAGGTGTCACACTCACACATAATCATGAAAAATCTAAAAATCTCATTTCACTGGTAATTACTACCTACATCTTATATTTTTATAAAACATTCATCAAACATAATAAATCTTAAGTTTCCCAATATAATGAAAATGTCTGGCATAAAATATTTTACCGTACCTTTTTTATAAAATACTCTCGTATGATTATAATTCCTATGAACTATTATTATTTTTATTTAAAATAAATTCAGTATATTTGTAATTGTCAAATATATTACCCCATTGCCAGAAAAATTGTTAATTTTATTTTGCTTTGTTAAGCATATTTATCATTTTTAGTATGTGTTTTAGGATAAGTACCCTATGAAATTTTTTAACCCTTTGATTTACCCCCATTTCTGACGATACCTTTTCCAACATATTAAGATAAAACAATAGTCATTAAAATGTACAAAATGTAATGAAGTGAAGTGGATAATAACGTGAATATTATTGCCAATTTAAACGTATTCGTTTTTAGATTTTCGTCTGGTCCGACTGTTGCTGCTCAACACAGACCACCTAGCCTACAAGACATGAAACCATTACGATTTTCTAATTAAATTAGTCTGTCAAGGTTAGAAGAAAAAAAAGCGTGCGGGTGGCGCGTGAGATGTAACTTAGAGATGTGTCACATCCATAAATTGTACGCGTAATTATGGGAGAAAACGTAACTTAATTATAAACAAATTAATGATGCGTAAAATACACCGTTTAATACAAGTAAAGTTCTTTAAAATGTATACATGTCATTTACAACGCTAATCGCTTACCATAAATCCGTTAAGAGCGAAATGTGCCTAAGAAATACACAAACATAATACATACTCTCGAAAACCATGTCTTTGTTTCGGCCTCGGCCGGGACGGTCAAGTGAAAATATCTACATTAGGTAAAATTAACGTAATATAAAAATGTAAACAAAAATTACCTTTATTTTTTTATTAATTAGGGTAAACTGTAATTTGGATTTCAAATTATAATTACATATAGATTAATATACACAAATATAATATTGTGACTTTTCGTCTACATAAAAAATAATGACACAATAAATAGTCGATAAACTTGCATCGATACTTTTTTGGGCATTTGTACTTACACGTGCCGCCTGCAGTCCCTCTGATTGACAGACAGAGACGCAACTATAATACTGCGTGCTTGACAAGGACAGCCTCAGAACAATGACCAGAACACGTTGAACCCTCACGGTTTTAGTATTTTAAGATTATTAAATGATGCATTTATCGGTGAAACGTGACTTTATCCTTCTTGAAATTACGTTTCCTGCTATCACTATCACACCACTTTAATGAGCAAGTGGGCATGTTTTACTGTTTTAATTTAAAAAATTGTAGTGCTAAGGACGCAGTGCACAGTACTGTTGTCTGGTTACTACTAAACAGGGTAGCATTCGTGTTCAACTGTATAGGCTCTGGTTGAGCAGATGAAGTACAGAAATTTGTCGCCTTTCTTTACATGTCTCGTCACCTAGCCGGTGGTCTGTGCTGCTCAATGAATTGAAAAAATTAGATTACTTAATCGCAAAGAAAACTAACTAATTTACGTTTCTAATGTAGTTTACTCCATTTGTAGTATTGCTGAAAACGTCTAATGAAGTTTACTCCATTTGTAGTATTGCTGAAAATAATCTGCGAAATCATATTAAGCATGCACAGGAAAACAATTCAGAGAAAGAGCTATCTCTCGAAGTTATTGCCAAACTTGTTGGTTGTTCTCTATTTCCTATTGTAGAAGAGCACATCACTTCGCAACATCACGACACAAATCTGCCGCGGCTTATTGTAGAATGTTATGTAAGAGTTCGATTCTTATATGAATCCAAATAAGATAATATTTCGCGGATAGCGTCATCAAAGCGGCAGTTATTAAAAAACAGTTGCTGATGCCGGGTTATTACTTATTAAGTAAGAGACGTTTGGTTTAAGTACTTGGGTATATAGTTATTTAATAAATATTTTTAGTTTTGTGTTTTATTTGAATAGTTTTTCTCCTTCCGAATCTTATTTTGTTTTAATAAAAAACTCCTATTCAATAAAGTATATCATATATTTATATAAATATATAACACTATATACTTATATAAATATATCTCTTCTAACAGAATAATATAATGACATAATAGATTTGTGAATATTATTATAGCATGTGATATTACGTACCGGTACCCGAACAAGCCGGTTTCCGAAAAGGCTTCAGTACCATAGACCACATACATACCCTGCGGCAGATTGTACAGAAGACCGAAGAGTACAATCTGCCACTTTGCATGGCATATGTGGACTATGAGAAAGCCTTTGATTCTGTCGAAATTTGGGCGGTGCTAGAGTCCCTGCAGCGGTGCCAAGTTGACTGTCGGTACATCGAAGTGCTGAAGTGTTTGTACAGTAGGGCTACGATGGCTATCCGAGTACAGAACCAGAGTTCGAAACCTATCCAACTGCAGAGAGGTGTAAGACAGGGTGATGTTATATCCCCGAAACTCTTCACCGCTGCGTTGGAAGACGTTTTCAAGCTACTGGACTGGAAAGGATACGGTATTAACATCAATGGCGAGTACATCACTCACCTTCGATTTGCCGACGATATAGTCATTATGGCAGAATCGCTGGAGGACTTAAGCATTATGCTCAATGACCTCAATAGTGCCTCTCAACG